TGAGTTAAATAGCAGTGTTGACTGTGCTTCTCTTGCCTTGAGATGGCAACTGGCCTAGGAAAAGGAAAACTTTGTATTGAAAACCAGCCTGAAGAGGGATGGGCCGTGTCAAGTTATGCTGTCCTAGTCATGCCACTTCTCTTATGGCCACAGTACATGTGGGGCCCCTACAACCCTAATGAACTAGGGGACTCATGACGTGATGACACACTCATTCACTTACTCTTCTAAATAAAAACCTATTAAAGATTCTACTAGCAGCAAATACTCTTACCATTCAAGAATCCTTGACCAAACTTCTGACACCATCCCAAAATAGTTGCAAGAACCAGTATTTAACCATTAATAATGTTTTCTGCAATTTTTTAAGCAAGACATTTTGAAATGAAAGATTCAAAATAATAATGAAAAGAAAAATGAATAATAACAATGCTTTTCTTTGTCGTTTACTTCTTCTATACGTATATATCTTTTCAGAATGGGAGAGATCATGGCTCTCCATAACGTCCTATCCTTCATAGTTCTTAGGAATGTTTATCTTTTTATTATCCCTTTCACCTACTGTCTTGCTATCCATTTAAACATTAGGTAAGTTACTTGTTGTTTATCTTTGCCCCTCTTGCATTCAATATGTCCTGTGAGTGTCAAAGTCTCCAAGCCCTCTTTCTTCATTTATATGTCCCAGAAATTTTAACTTTCCCTTTCTGATTCTAAGTAGTCATGTCCTTATTGTTTGCATTTTCCTTAAAACTTCTTTGTCGCTTAAATGATCTGTCTATGGCATTCTTGATATTCTTTTCTAGAACCACATCTCTGTTGCCACAAGTCTTCACTTCATCTGTGAGGAAATTGTCTGGCATTCACTGAGAATTAATATGATATAGTTGTTCTGCACTCTTTGTTTCTAATAAAACTTCTATGTTTCTTAATAACTTATTTACATTTTGGAAGACATTTTTCATTATTCCAATGCAACTTCAGATTTCTGTGTCACATATTCTGCCATCTGTTATAATACTTCCCACATATTTAAATTTCTGTATTTGTCTGATTTTGACATCTCCACAATCCTGGTTATGATGATAAACTACATCCGGCAGCGAGACCTCTGTCTGGAAGAAGATTTTGAAGATTGCTGTTGTTCCTAGGTCCATCCTGACCTGGGATGGTAACACCTGTCAGGGTCCCAGCTATGGGCAAATAGTGAACCCCCAAACAAAGACAAAACACTATAAAAGTAAAAAAATACATTTTTATAGTAAAAATACCAGCAATACATGTCTATATAAAAACATGACTAACAATACCTATTTATAGTAAAATGACAAACAATACAATTTATCTGTAGTTGAAGGCATACTATTACTTTCAAAATATATTTAGTTGAAGCCATAAAATTGTTCAAAATATTTAGATTTCAGCATAGAAGTTGATATGCCACTAAACAAAATCAACCCAACAACCAATATGAAAGAACTTTCATGACATTTAATCCATATAATCTCCTACAATTTCTTAAAGAAATCAAACTGTATTCCAAAATATAATTTCAACAAAACTACAACATAGAACATAACACATATCACCCCTCTAAGAGTTATGTCCCCACAAACATGTATATGCACAAAATCTGAGTATCATCTACCATGTATTCAATTGTGAATGAAGAATAATATCACATTTTTTATTACTTCAAGGCTCCCAAGAAAATGAAACTTTTGGCATTAAATAACCTATAAGGAGTTGATATGACGTTAAGCAAACAAATCAATCATTGACATCTCCAACTTATAGCCCACATCTTGGCCTTTTTCTTCAGCTGACAGCCATACATTCTGTCTTCTTACAATTGATAGTTAGTCATTTCTTCTTTCTTTCCTTCACTACCTTGCCTAGAAGGTCTTAAGATGGTACTCACCAATAATTAATCCTGTCAGGATTTCCAATTCTCTTAAGATTTCTTTGTAATAAATAAACCCCCTGATAATATGCATCCTTTTCTCATACCCCTTTTTATTTTTATGCATTTGCTTAAATTATTTTCAATCCGTATGTAGGCAGATTGCTTCCAGCAAATATTCTTATCATAAATATTGTATTTCTTGTTCCAGTGTCTTTAACAAAACCATACAGTTCTTGTTCCATTTTTTTTCTAATTCTGCTATGTACTTTATTTATCAAAATCTGGATAATAAGTTTAGTTATGTGGCTCAAGAAGCTGATTGTCCAATGGAGCTTGCATTCATTTGCACCTAACTTTTTAGACACTGCTAAAAAAATGGATCTCAAAGTCTTCTGGTATATCGCCACTGTTGTATATCCTGTTGAATCCAAAAGTATCTAACACTGATAGCATGTCTTTTACAATCCAATTTATTCCTGTTGATTTGTTTCTGTTCATTTTGACCAGTGCCAATCTTATGGCAGACTTTAATATTTCAGGCCCATCCATATTTTTGTGTATTGTAGGTTTCCCTTTTGTGAAAGCATTCTCCAGCCTGTTTGTTCCATCTTTGAATTTTTTTCTCTTTCTATTATGAGTGTTTCCCTTTTTTATTTTCTACATACTTTCAATGAGCACATCTTTTGTTCTGTTATTTCTTTTATTCTTTTATGCATACATGCTGTATCTAGTCTTTCTATACTTGCACACTTTTTGTTGAGTCATTCCTCTTTGCTTGCCTGCATTTTTTCTAATGTTTGTGTTTCATGCTTTATATTCTGTAGCATTCCTTGGCATTGTTTACTGG